TTCCTCTCAAACGGTTATGAATGAATGATTTAGCCATGTTGGGGTCATTGAAGTAGTCCATAATGGGAGCATGAGTAAACTTCAGCGTCAGAACGTGATACATGGCTTGCAACAATGCCTCATTATCTGAGTCTGTGAATAAAGGATATCGGTACAAAATAACCAATCCAACCGACACAGTGTTAACAAAGAAAACATAAATTTGTGGTCCCTATTCTCTGAGAGAGTAGTATCCTACGAAACCTGCAGTTTATACCCATGTGTGTAGACGTTTTACTGTGGAATGGCAGATACACCCGGTATAAAACTGGTTTCCATGGACAAAGTCCATGAAGGGGGATGCAATACTTGAGTCGCGATGAAAACAGTGTTGTCTTTGGTATATTTTCGTTAAAATAAATGATCAATTATTGGAATTTCGTATGTTGGCTTTTCATTCGATGGCGTCTGTATTGTCATAACTGATTATCATGAATATGAAAGCAGAAATAATCTAAAAATCCAAGGGGGTATGTATATGGATACATTTTCACACCCGTCTGAGTCCAGGCGGTGCCAATCCAATAACAGTAGAATAATCTTTAAAAAAAACGTTTTCATGATTTGGTTGTAGGTGCGATACCGAGGTGTTCAATACAGCTCAATGACTAATCGATTTGGTGATCAATGCCACAACCAAAAGGTTGAAGTGGATTTGGGTTGGACGCCTCTTCTTGGCTGGTTGGGGATCAGGGTATTCATTCAACTCCCCTAGAACTTCCACCGGTTCACCGACCTAGTTATAACCCCGAAGGTTAGCCTTTTGTCGTACCACGGTGGTACGAAACACCTGTGTCACGGAAGGCAGTGAATAGGGCTTCCGCGGCGGAGGCTATTTGAGACTCTTGGTTGTAGAGGAGCATACGGCGAGGTGCGAGAGAAGACAACCCGAGGGGGTCACGAAACTTTTGTCACGTGTGTATATTCACGGGAGTATTTTGACAATCGAAACCCTACAGTAGATAGTGAATATTGTTTCATACGATTAAGTTTTCACATTTCTTTTTCTTGGTGATTGTGTTCATCTTGACAATTCGTTGTGTGTTGTGTCTATTGTTCCCTACTTCGCGCTGGGATTCACTCACATTCACGTAGCTGGATATGTACCGAAAGATTACTCTGCTTATCATTCTTTGATTTCTTATCTCTACGGGTGAGCTGAATAAGGATAGATTTGAGCATTGCTGTTTACAGAAGCATGTATACACAGATTCCACGCTTGACACGGCGCCCGTGCTATGCTAAGTTTTAGTTTATCGTTCTGAACTCCTCCTAACTGACCTATCGATCCACAGAAAACTGCTTTGTTTTATTGTTGGTTGCGATTCTTTCACGCAAGTTACACTGGTTGCATAAACTCAACTAATTGAATTAATGCACCACACTAATCATCGCTTGCATCCTTTTATCTGCAAAAGTCCCGCTGTAATTTGGGCTCCTTTTCTAACACATGTTTTCATTTGCTATTCGTTGACAATACTATTCCACCCACAACCAGAGAATGAAAAAATATGTCAATTACACGAAATAAATATTGAAGAGTGGAGCCAAAGATGAACAGGTGAATGAATACATGAGTGAATAGAGGAAAAGAAATTGGTCAATCAACCTCTTAGCAACCCATTGATGGATTGCGGGGAATTTTGAGCAGAACATGCTCGAATTGGCATTGATCAAATATTGTGCGGTATGAAAAATGTACTGCGATATGCAAAGACTATATTCGCGGGATCTGGTTCAACCATTCTCAACAGACAAACGACAAACTGTGCAAATGCTGTGAAGAACCTGATCACACCCTCCATCGCTTGGGCTGTTGTGCGCACCTTTGATGGAATTCGGTGGGTGTGTTTAGTCGGTNAATAGAATCCGTTCGATTGTAACCTGGCAATCGGGACGTTCACTACTGTTCAAAGCAGTGCTCTGTGAAAACTACAAACAATGAGAACCACAAACTGAAAAGAATCGGTAGCATGATCACATGGAAAGAACGAATAGTAATAGGCACTGAGATATGAGAACAGGTTGAAATTGGTTGATTTAAAGACTAGGAGAGGAAGAGAACGATAATTAATTTTGTACAGCGTCTCTTATTGAGATGCGATGAGAGGTGGGAAGATGGCACAAGAATTTGGACAGCCAGCTAAAAGGCTTCTCGTTGCACAATAATGAGTGATAACCTGACTGTAGAAAGACCCACTGATGGGACAAATTTCAAGATTTCGGAGCGAATATCGGCTGATGCATTCGGTACATATGGAGGACAGAGTTGATTGAGTCATGACTAAAGTTTGTAAAATAGGGATGTATTTTTCCTACGTTCATATTCGTCTTCTTCCTCTTCATCCCCTTCTTGATGAGCACTGTGCGTGACAGCAGGTAGAGCTGACAGACCAGTCGGTTCCGGACGCATACGAGGCATTGTGAACAAAATGCGCGTCGCTTCGCGCAAAGTGGTCTACGAACGAACAAGTTGAAAAATGATTTGTTAGCGAGTATTTTGCAAATATTGGGAATGAAGATAGTTTTTGTGGCAGTTTTCAGTATGTAAACTAAGCACTTGCTCTATAGAATATTTGCCGGTAAGTAGACCCTTCTGGGTTGCTCCAAATCCCGGTTCGTCTACCAGTTCAAACCAAACAGGGGACAAGCAGATTATCCGACACTAAAGAGACATATGCACCAGAAATAGTTTCTCAATAAGCGGACACATTCCTATCATCGGAACTCTGCTAACCCTTTGCTTCGTTTAAAAAATTACATAAGAATTGTCTAACGATATGTGCATTACACAAAATTAATGGTAACATGTTGACAAAAGTACCGGTTCCAGAACCATGATCCAGAGAACCAGATAATCGAACGAGAAACATAGCAACAATGAACGTGTAACAGAGTGGGTATGAGCTATACTTAATAGTGAAGAAACCGTTCACGCTCCTCGATGCGTTGTGCCCAACAGTGGATGACTACAATCTGGTTTATCATCTGCTCTAGGGTGAATGCAACCGAACCAAATCTACCTCATTCCCACAATATAGGAAGAAAACATTTTACAGTCTTAACGACCATTAGGCATGCACTTTTTGGTGGCGTTTTTCGTATCTGTCCTGTGGCAGCCCAATTGGACGAAAGAGTAGAGGAAAGATCGAAATGTAAAACTAGTAACAGGGATAAAATGGAGAATTCCGGTAGTCTGAGGTTGCAAAGATGCACGAGCGCCACTCTTCGGTACACTCGGTCATGACATTCCGTGCCTCTGATCAACGCTTGCACTGAGCCTAAGCTCCCCAACCAGGTGACCTAATGAGACATATGATATTTGAGGATACAAAATCTAATGGAATACAAACAATTCGCACGTGGATTTCCAGTGACGATCAGGTTCTTCTAACTATTCAAACAATGTACGCCATGTAAAATGAAATTGAACTCTATTCAATTTTCATCCGTTGAATGAAACTGTGAGAAGAACAAAGTTTTGTATGGATAAGTCAAAAAGTGGTAGAGGTGAAACACATATGGGGAGTATGTCACGATCACAAAGCACGTACTTGCGCAGAAACCGTTCTCTGAAATCCGGTACTATTCTCCTCAGACTCGTTAGACGCATCCGTCAAGTGCAGTACTCGACGCCCGGATTCTGGCACAGCTAGAATTGCAAACAATTGGAGATGGAATATGGTGATGCGACGAAACGCCACTGCAAAAATATGATATCAACAAATCCAAGAACTTTCATAAAAGTTTAAGTGGGTCACGAGCCACTGGATTTAGGAAAGCGGTACAAGTTTTGACGTCACATAATTCATGCGCAGAGTTTTCAACCTAGGATTAATTCCCATGAAGAGTAATGAAGGGCGAGTTAGATACGTTCATATTAGTGTCAAATCACGTCAATCCCGATAACGGGGACACGCGTTATCTTCATGTGATAAATCACACCTACAGACGCATCACCAACGTTTCTCGAGTAGAACTTAATCATCGAATCCCCTCTCACCATATTTTTTCTGTTTTCATTGTAGAATTAAAGCTAATCTCATAGATATCAACTTCGTCTATAAAATGCACGGGAAATAATGTTGTTCAAATTGGATCATATCAAATCAATTTTGGAAAGGAAATTCAAATATAACAGTTGAATAAATGAGAAGCAATAAAATTAGGCTTTTTCACGACAGTGGTCTCGAAATAAAATGCGTTCATGAGAATCAAGTTTGCCTGAGAACAAAAAAATGATAGTATTTTCCGATGATCCGGAGTAAACAAACGTGAATCAAAATTTGAATCAAAACATTCACGAACCGCTGCCAGACGGGAGAACCATATACAGAGCACCACTGTCTGCTTCATCTCCGCCAAGACGATTAAACGAACCGTCCATGCGCTTCAAGTTTGCTGTACAGGATGCGCCTGTGACTCGAGTGGGACCGATTTCATCGGAAGATTCCATCAGATTCTCAAGCCACTTGACTGCCGGTTCCCATCTATCAGGAAAACCTGACAGATAAGACACGACTGCATCGGTTTTCGAGGACAAGTGAACAATAAACTTCATGCACTGATACGCACGCCGTGAGTCTCGATAGGCCTCAGTTGTGATCAACTCTGTGTTGGAGGCAAAAAGAAACGAAAACGAAAATACGGCATAGCATAAACCGAACGTAATCCGTAGCATTCCGCGTAAGCTTTTGTGCACAACTTAAACACAAAATGCTACCTACTTGATTAGGAAAAATGGGCAGGTTTGACAGAACTAACAGGCCTTTTCTCGTAGCCGATCAGTCATGCTGAAAATCCAACAAATGTCAATCAGCTTCATTCATCGAACGTTAGTTCAGAAATGGCATAGAAGCGAAAGAGACAAACGGTCACCTGTTTAAGATTTTTTTATGAAACAAAAACAGAACAGACAACAATTAGTCAATGAGACAATTAGTTACTCAGGAAATTCCACCAAAAGTTCGATTGTGGTATGAGTTTACTTGAAGACTAAATCTATCGGAAGCCTGATTCAGAACTACCATGGAGACAGAGGTGGAAAAAATAAATCTTGATATCCTGACATCCTGAAAACTGACAAAAGAGCTTGTACTGAACGGATGCCGCATAATCTACAGAAGCTGTACTCAGTTCAAATGGATTTACCACTTGTTGATAACTTAAGTGAAATCAAAATCCCATTCCGGATATTGTGTATCAAGCGTGAGTCTATACGGATTTGACTGTTAATCAGACAAATCACTTCTACCTGTTCGTAATTAGGATTTGAGTAGCTAAAAGATAAATAAATACCACTGAAACGAAAGCGCTTTTCACAACTCGGACTAGATTTTCCTCAATGAATCCACCCTAAAACCTGCAACTGAACTACTTTATTATGTTTTGCAATCTCAACGAGAGATCCACGTAATGGTTCGTTGATTCAGCCGCCGTCCAGAACTTTTACATATGTAGCGACCTTATGTGACTCGATGGAATTCGTTGTGTTCAATTCATGTGGACCTATCGACTACAACAAATACTTACTCCGTCTATTCATACCACATAACACATTCACTGTTTATTGCAGCATCGAGCCGTTGTTTACAGAGAAACCAGGAACGAAAACGGATTAGGAAGTATCACTTGTGCCAACCGGTGCCTAATCTGAAAATTGTTCACACGGCTCAGTGTTCGCGACATAGATTAACTGAGGAGAGTAAATACAAATGTCACTAACCTAATAGCCCTTTTGGCATAGCCGGCCATGCAGGTGGCACTTCCTCTACTTCAGTCGTGGCCCCATCAGATGCGTCACCGGAATCGGATGTCTGGACGGTGAGAAGCTCGGGCTCTTCCCTCTTTTCGTCAAGTATTGTCATAGCATGAAGCGACGAATCCAGTTCTTTCATGCTCCAAGCCCACAAATGTGGATCCACGTTAGGCCTTGGACACCAGCCGTGAGCATCTGATCCAACACTAGGACGATTGACCAAACCATGCATCACGGCAGCAATCCGTGCGGTCTGAAGTGGATCCACGAGGCACAGAAGTTCATTGAGCAAATCAAACAGATGCCGTAATTCACTTTGAGGTCGTGTTTCAATTCGCGATAAGAGCTGAATATTCATGCGATTTTTGGAGTGGAAAGGGGTCAAGAGAGGGGGGTAACAATCAAGAGATTACCGAAAGTCATTTCTAACATCATCCAGTGAAACAATTATCAAACTATCAGTCTGAAAATTGTAAAAATAACGAGAACAAAAGCTGACAGTTTTTACCCTCGCAATACAATCATGCTTAGCTGTTTTTCAATCTGTCTCTTGTCGATTAACGAAGTCTACGTCTCTCAAAAACAGAACAGAAAACGGTTGATTGCAATGAAATTCGATGTTTTCAAACTACCGCACGTGCTGCATCTTAGATTGTTATTTGATATCGATTTATTTATTCAAAATGATTATGCCGCCAAACACGCTTCAGCAGAAAATCTGCACATAAATCATATCCGTTGAGACGCACATGGGTGCGCGAGAGTTTCCACTGGACGCGAAGCATTCTCACGAAAACCGGCAATCCGAACTGTCATCCACTCAAAAAACTGAAACAAAGTGAAGAGATTTTTCGTTGGGCGTTTGTTCAACAACAGCATCAAGCTATTTCGCTAAAAAATCCATTTGTTTTCCCAGTGAGCTCGAACGTAAAGAAAAACTGAACTGTAGCAACAAACAAAAGGGATTTACCGTAACAAGTAAATCAGTTAAACATGAGAAATAACTTCTGCAACTGCGGACTGCAAAAGAAATTGGTAGGCCACTACAATTGCAGTAATTTTTTTAACAGAACATTTTTCTTGTCGGAAGTTCAACGAGCTTTGAATAGTCCAATTATGCGTTTTCAACTTCTCACCTCATAATAAAATCAAGGCAATTAATAAAAAGATATCTACTTTAATCAATAAATTCCTGAAAATAAACTGGCAACTATTAATCTTGCATCGTTTAACATTTTCGGAGGAATGAACTCCAAAATCGCTTATGTATCCATTCACAAGAACGTCCTTACTTATCATTTATGAAGTTACGGAACTTTCTCTGAATTGAAGGTGCGCTAACCTCGCTGTTCCATAAATAGTAAGACGAAAAACGAATGTTTGTCAAAAAGCAACTCTGAGGCACTTCTGTTGTTTTTGGTTCGCAGTTCGAATGCACACGATGAACGCTGATTCCAACGTTCGTAATTCGTGATCACATTAAACGCTAGTTAGTGATTAATGCAGCACCACCAAATTACTGATAGCCCAGATTCAATAACACACAGCGGTGGTGACGATGCACTGCTCAGTTCATGACCCCTGTAACCACACCATCATACTTGTAGCTCACGTATCGGGTACATGATTGGATATGTTGTCCACAGGGCTGTTGTTCGTTTACACGCATTTTGATCCACTCTATGTTTGTCAGTGTGTGGCCGGTCAATATCAAAAGTAGTTCAAGTTAGCACAGATTTTCATATCCAGGCCAAACCTTTTGTACACTTCAACACGTAAACTCGATATCAGTGTTGAGTGCAAACTGACAGCGGCTAGTATTTATTACGCATTCACCGAAGTAGCATGTCCACAGCAGTGTTCTCATCAAACAAGTTCAAAGTCCATCGCCACTGCTGAATGGCGAATTATAGGCGGTAAACACAAAACCCTTATTTTACCAATACCGTAGACCATCTAATCCGATCTGGAACGATCGTGATCCGATGCCTAAAACGGATTCTTTTTGACCTTAGTATGAGAGTGCGCGCTCTCNGCTCTCTCTGAAAGGAAAAATGAATGCCCTGACATGACATAAGATCTGTTCAACTAGTCAATATTGAAATGGTCAATCGGGTGACCCAGGTTGGAGAGAAGATGAACAGTTCCCAATCGTTTAGTTTGTAGACACAATAAAGTATGTTCGTTTTACGAATAAGGTTCTACACTGAATGATAATTAAATACATACAATGTTTAGTTTAAGTTCAGTGGTTATATCTATTGGTAAAGGATGACTATGGTAACACCAAAAGGAGTGATTTTTGTGGACCTGTCCAAGGATAAAGTAAGGAATAATCAAACAAAATCATTTATCATGAATGCAACTATGAACGCGATATACTTCTATGACCAAAGCAACTACCGATACGGACATATTACTGAGAAAGTTTAATTCAGCCCATTGTAACAAAGCATTCCAAATTGAAATAGAACGCAGGAATGTAACAAATTAGCTAGTATGGACGGTTTTCAGTCGCATATTAGATGGTTTGGCGAAGCGGAAAGTTCACAGAAAGCCCCATTGCGAAGTTAAACTTAATTATTCTCATTTTTCTTCTCATTGAAAGTGAAGGGGAATGTTAATAAATGGCAGGAAAGAATCACGGTGAAGACGCCGTAGCGAATGAACTCTATTTTCTATGATTAAACGTCGTGATCAAGGGATATCCAAAACAATTGATCAGTGGAATGATAACGGAAAAACAATCCAAACATAGAGGGAAGTGCACGGGTTA